TCAGAGCAGACTTCCTGGTTCATGCTGTCGGCAAGACTGACTCTAGCTCTTTTGGGAGGTTACAGAGCACTTACGGGGTTTGTGAGCAGTGTGTGACAAGTTGCTTGACAGTGGTGACATAGACCCACTGAGTTCCTGGAGCTGGGGCAGTGAGCATGGCTCGCAGAGGTGGTGAACATGCCTCTGCCATGATGGACTGGGTAGAGCCAACAGGCAAAACTACAGCTCATTAATCCCAGCCATGCCTGCTTAGAGTTTAAAAATAAAATGCTCCTGGTCAGAAAATGGTTACAGATAAACAATAAAGACAGATTCAGACAGAAATAAACCTCTGAACAAGTCATAATGTGTTTTAAAAATGTACATAGGCTTGGGAGAGAGAAGAAAAAGAATACAGACGGTTATAAAAAGAAAGAGTTTAAAAATAAAGTCTTTAAAGAGACAGTAAAAGTAATATAAAAGAGTACAGATAGTCATGGATTAAAAAAGTAAAGAAAAATAAGCCACATAAAGATGGAATATACATAGAGAGTCTGGAATATATATATATATATATATTGTTGAGTTTTCTTTGAAGTTTTTGCCTGTGAATGAACTAAATACAGAGAGACATTTCATTGTACTGGCTAAGCTATACCACCATATATATTTAAAAGGTATCTTGACTTCAAAATTTAAATTCTAAGGATATGTTACTTTGGAAAAGAGGTTCTGCTTTTCTTTCCACTGAAGATGAGAACCTGTGGATTCCTTCCAGGCTAATGTGGTTTGATGGAAGAAGACCCCCTGAAAGGTCTTTGTAAACCCTAAAAATATTTCACCCAACAAACAGCAGAAAACAATTTGGAGGAAACAACATCAAAATTCCCAAAATGATTGTTTATAAATGTTCATTTTCATTTAAAAGGGGATATGATATAGAGATGAATACTTTGCATTAGTATGGATCTTGGCCTATTGATAAAAATTTAAGATCAATTTTGTTACACTGTGTATTTGTATTTCTGCTCTTGATTAAGGGATTATGTTTGTCCAGCTCATTTAAAAACGTAATGTATAATTAAGAAGTATAGATTGATATATAGTAATCTATAATAGTCAAACTTGTAGCCACATTAGTTATATTAGATATACAGAGATATATTTCAGATGGATAGATATTCTTCAAATCTTTCAAAGACCTACAGAATGTGACATTTAAAATGTTTTGTTAAATTAGGACTTTTCATGATAATGAGACACATCTGCTTCTGACAGCACAAATCTACTTCAAGAAGATGATGGGCATATTAGAGGCTCCTTATGGAGTTTGTTAGCCATTTGGGCAAGAAACTGCTATTGCTTAGACTGCGTGAAGGTATGTTATTTGAACTGGACATGTATGACCCACAGAAAAGTGGCTGCTAAACTTTTCAAAAGATGGAACGGTTCTTCAGGGTTTCTGTTTCACAGAGGAAACTGTCAAACATTCTGCAGGACACAGAAGAAAGTGACTGACAAATTGCCAATATAGGCAAAACAATCTTTCAGATTTTCTGCTTCATGGAAAAGTCTGCCAGACACTATGGACCTATAGGCTGGAGATTGGATGTCCCAATATTACAGAAGAACTTTGGGTGACTGTCCAGGCAGCAAGATGTCTCTGTCAATTCTAAAGTTTTAGAAGTTGCTTACAATGCACTTCCTGCTTACTTAGATAATATGATATCCTTCTGTGGTCTTTGATTGAGTTGAAGAATTGATACTCATAATTATAGCTTTCCTTAGTTATGATAAAAGATAAAGTAGATATAAATATTGTAACTGTAATTCTTGCTTGATACCTGTCTTATTATATGCAATTTTACTATGTTAAAGTTAAAACCTTCCTTTTTATTTAGTAAGAAAAAGAGAAATAAAGTAAGATGTCTTTCTATATGTGTATTGCTTTTATTGGTTTATAAGTAAAGCTGCTTTGGCTGATGGCAGGGCAGATATAACCAGACTGGAAGAGAGATATATAAAGGGTAGGCAGAGCCAGAGAGAGACGCCATGTAACTGCTGAAGGAAAAAGACACCACTGGAACCTTTCCGATAAGCCACATGGTGATACACAGATTAATGGAAATGGGTTAATTTAAAATATAAGAGTTAGCCACGAATATATTTGAGTGATTGGCCAAGGAGTGTTGTAATTAATATAGCACACACACACACACTGGGGCAGGGGAGTCTACCTGCTAGAAAATTTTTATGTGTGGTCAAAAATCTCAAAAAAATACCCCTTCTACCCTGTCCAGCCAAACTGAAGTAGAATAACACAGCACCACAATGCTGTAGCCTTGATCCAAGCTTCTGACCAGGACTGAACTTTGGTCAAACAGGATTCCCTTAATTTGCATGTGCCTGATTTGTATGATCCTTATTTGCACACCAGAGATTATATAGCTGGAAATTTCATGCATAACAGCTCATTCTAAACATGCAAACTGTATATACACATTGGCTAATCTAGACTTCCCTTGTTATTACATGCCAAGAAACTGTAGACAGACAAACTCACCCTAATAGGACAAGCACTTCTCTGCAGTGGCTGTCCCCACCCCAGTCATTGCCCTGTGTTGCTGGCAGCACCCTAGTCACTGCCCAGGCCGTTTCTCCTTACTGTCCATCAATCCTTCCCCACTTGCCATTGTAGTTATTTTTTTCTGAACAACTCTTAAGTTTATGGGAACCTTTAACAAGGTTCACACAGCAGCGGCAAGAACACAAAGACCACAGATCCATTTCTCATTTTCATATCAATTGGCAGAAATTATCTTTATTAGAAAAATGAAATTTCCTGTATTTACATTTTTACACTGTATGATGGGCACTTTCTTTGCCCCGGGAGTTCTGTACATATCAGTTTGCACACACATGTCAAATCCCATTCCTTAAAACAGTTGATAACACATTGAACAAAATTAAGAAGACATACAAGAAGACAACCACAGTATAGACTTCCTCTATCATAGAAAGGTGTTAAGCAAACGTGTAATTTTGTAGCTATGCTTGGAAATATTTAATACAGTTATTAGCACTTCCTCATGCAGTGGATCAGAACATGACAGGTATAAACTGCTGTGAGTGGGTGAAGATCTGCTCCCGAAGGAAGACCATTGGGTGGGGCACACAGCTATCCTTGGACTCCACCATACGAGACATTAAGCCAGTCCTGATGTGAGTTATAGATGGTGTTTCATGTAGCTGTGGATGGAAACCCTCTGTGTATGCATTCAACCACATTCATACTGGGCTAAAGATAGACTCACACATAAACCCTTTGATTTATGGATAAGTTGTTTAATTCAAGAACTCTCCTGTGGGCAATGGGTAGCTTGTACATTCTGCAAATCTTACAACATGACTGGAAAATGAATAGTTTACCCTCTTTCACTGTCTGAGGAGGCCAATATTTATGGTTTTTATGAGCTATTTCTTATTCAAGCCACCAATTAACTCACCTAATTCTTCCTGATATTCAGCTTGAAATATATAAGTTCACATCCACAAACATTCCAGTGCCATATAAACTATGATGAATTCTACCAATTAATTGGGCAAGGATATGCTCTTAAATATGTTTTATCAGGGGAATGGACACGTGTAACATTCAGACTTTGAAAACAACCATAAAAACATCTTTAGGGACCTTCAGGCTGGGAAAGCATCTGACCCACGTTTATTTTGTGATTATTTGTGTTTTTCAATGACCATGTTTTCTACATATCCCCGATTTAATATCTTCTTTGAAAAAAAGTTGTTAACTTACATAGTTTCCAATGAAAAATTTCAAGTAACACGAATGTTAGACTTGTCAGTTTGATCATTCCAAATTCATCAAATTTTCAAAGAAGATTGTTCAGATTTGCCACAAAATCATGTTTAATCTTCTGCTTCTGACATGGAATCTTTCCCTAATGGTTATTGCCCCAGATCTGTGTCTACAAACTTAATACATTTAAGATATTTTTAAAAGGAAAGTAGCTTATAAAAGTCAATGTCATTTCTTAATGTGAATTAGCCTGACCTGGAAGAGAAACAATTCAATATACCATACATGCTTAATGTAAAAACCTCCAATGAATTCAAAAGGCTGTGATTGTTTCTCATGGAAAAACAGACAACGCGTATTTATATTTCTGGACCTTCACTATTTGTTCAGGTATCAATAGTCTTTGATTCGAGCCCTTTAAAAGCTTGAAACAGCAAAATGTCAGATCAATGAGAAATATTGAAAATGCCAAAGACAAACTTATGTTAGCTGGAAAACAGTTAACCTTATCAATTTAAAAGGCATCTGTGGTATTGGCTATGCGTTATGCTAATATCCTTTTGAAGGCTTTTAAATCCTTCCCAAAGGTGTGAAAGAGAATTAACTGGAAGAGGTTATGACCCAGGGCTGCTGATAATGAGGAATGGTCTAGAATTGTAAAGATGTAGACTCATCATCGGTTTGCTGATATGGTACCTAAGCAGAATTGGTGAGTGAACTTCTGATTTGTTTCTTCCTGAAGTCCTCTGACACCTTCTTCATTAAGCAAATCTGAGAAATGATTCCACCTTTAATAGGTTGTGGTTTGCTGGAGAACTGTGTGCTTTGAAATACAGCTCCAAAGAGGCAGAGAGCTCAGCCGCGTTATTTGGGACACCCCACTTTCTGCAGAGCTTGACATCCCTGGGAGAGTCTCCTTGTCTGTTGCAGAAACACATGGTCTCCAAATAGCTATTTAATAATAACCTCTGTGTTTTTGTTTTCACTTTTGAGACAGGGTCTCTCATAGCTTAGACTGGCCTCCAACTCACTATGTAGCCTGAGCCTAACCTAAACTCAGGATCCTCCTGCCTCTGCCTCCTGAGTGTTGGGATCACAGACATGTGTCACCACACCCAGTTCATGTTTCTAGAGCTGGGCATGGAACCCAGTCCTTGTGTGTGCTGTGCAACCACTCTACTAACTGAGCTGTATCCTTAGCCCAGGTGATCTCCATAGTAAGAGGCACCTGACTGTCTGCTTGGAGGATGATAACACCTGGAGAGTTAGTTATTCTCAGGAATCAAGCTAAGGGCATTTATGAGGAGTGCTCAAAGACTCCCCAGAAGTACTTGGAGCAATGATTGCATTTTTTTTTATAAAAATGTAACTCTGGAGCCTTCCAAAGTCATTTTCCTTGTGATCCCAGCTCAATCTTCTCATCTATAAAATGAGCCTAATGTGCCCTACCTTACTGTAAATATAAATGCCGGAAAAGAAGTGTGGTTTAGAACATGGGTGGGATGGGATGCCCAGATGGCACTCTGTGCTCGGGAGCGTCGTCTGCATGACTTATTAGTCACCATGCCACTCTTGGCTCCTATAAAGTGCTGTGAGCATCCCAATTCAACACTCTTCCTTGGGATATTAACAAGTGTTGGTGCGTCGACAATTATCCTGACACTAATGACCAGGAGTGCATCTCTAAGGCAATTTAACAAATGGAACAGATCAAGAGAAACAACAATGACAGCAACAACAACAACAACAGCATTTAATAGCTGGCCCTCAATCACCCTGACGACTAAAGTACTCAGTCATTTATGCAAAACTATTCCCTGTTCCCTGCCCTACCTCCGAACTCCATTCCATCTGCCTGGCAAAGATAGACCAACGCAGATGGACAGGAGAATCGGCGGGTCTGCAGACAGCGTCCTGTGAGAAAGGGGTGACAGTGCTGCAGGGAGCTTTGACTGAGGACCACGAGGCAGTGTGTGCATGTGCGTGTGTGACTGCTCACACACCCGGGAAAGCATACTATGTACATGTGTTAACGGTACTAGCCCTGATGCCAACTGTTAAAGAAGAAAAGAGATGGGCAAGGGGATATTTAAGGTTAGGCACATGCTAAATAGAGAAGGTAAATTTTCGAAGCAAACAAAATAAAAAGTAAAAAAAGTTAATGCTGAGTGCAAGCACAGGGAGGAGGAGAGACATGGACAGTGTTCCAGTCTTGGAAGGGGCTGTGAACAGAGGAGGAATCCCCAAGAGTTCTTGATACACCCCAAACCAGGCAACCTGGGCAGGGTGCTTGGGGAAAATCCTGGGGACCTCAAATTAGTAAATCTCTTTCTGCTTCTAGTCTGACCTCCATGTTGCTAGTGAGGCTTAGAATAATCTTAGCCTCGGTTTCCTCATCTGCAAAATGGGAACAATAACTTAACTTTTAGGTTAAACTCATTCAGTATAGAAATAGCTGGGTATTTCAAGATTCAGATGCTGACCCATGGTGCACACTCATGATGAGCAGAGACTGTAACATTCTCATATGCACAGAATGGTACCCAATGTACAAACACTCTTGGAAATGTCCTTCCACATCTGCCCCACCCCTCCATCCTTCTGGAAATACACCTGGATTCCCTTCCTTTGCATCCTTGCCCTCTCTCTCTCTCTCTCTTGTTTTTTTTCTTTCTTTTTTTTTAACTAGGGAACCTGACATTTCTTTTGCCATCCATGACAGCAGGCACTTGGGACTCCATGAAACACTCTTTCCCTCTCCCCTGACCTGTCCACACCCTGAGCTAACAAAAGTCTTCATTGGCCATAAATGACCCAACTGGTAAAGTTTTCCGTATGTTTCCTCTTTCTTCTTTACACCATGATCTATTTTTATAATCCTTTGAAGGATTTTCCGGCCCCTTTGAAGCATTTGAGGCATGATTTGGTAAGCCATGGAGAGCTGGTTGGAGCCAGACTCAAGAGTACTTGTGCAAACAATACAAAAAAATGAGTTTTTACCTGGTTAGTTGCTCCCACCCCCCCACATTGCCTCAGGGTACATCAAGCAAATCAAGACCATTTGCAGAGACATCAACTGCATTCCCCAAAGTTCCTTAAAACTCATGGAAGAACCTTTTTTTTTTAAAAAAAAAAAGAGTTTTGATTACAGTATCAATTATTTTTTATATTCTTACAATAGCATATTACCTATTTCTAATTTTCACTATTTAGTCTGATTTTGTTTTATGGTTGTTGATTATCTTTTATATTTTGGAATTTACTTCTTAAACCAGGAACTACCTATAGGAAGAGATTCTATTTTCCATTCCATTTGCAGCCCCGGGGTCCCAAAGTGGACTTCAGATGAAGCTGCCACCTTGTCTAGTCCTGTGGGCTGGCTGGCAGCCCTTGCTCAGATGAGACCTCGTTGCTGCCAGCCTTCTTTGGTCCACAACTCTAAACTCTACCCTTTGTGGGTCTTCTCTAGAGGACAGGCCAAGAGGAGATCTCTTCTCCAGGGCCCTGAGAGAGTGAGGGGTTGCAAAGGAGCTTAAAGAAAAACCAAATTCAGAGAGTCATGCTTGATTTGCAAAGAGCAAGGGACAAAGAAAACCAGGGCAGTTCGGTGAGTTTCTCCGGCTCTTATTCCAGAGGGACTCATGGGGAGTGTCTTCCCAAAAGAAACCTAGAGAAATGGCAGCTTGGTAAAGGTACCAAGCCAGAAATCAGACTACAGAGTCTTGGGTTCCAGCCCCAGCTCCGATGCTTTCCAATTTTACCTTAGACAGATTACTGTCCCTTGTCACCTGTCACTTGTCTCCTTTCCCCAAGATCTTGATGTCATTACACAAAATCCACTTAGTTTAAGCCTTTTCTGGACAGGCATCTTGTGTTTCTTCTATGCTGATAGCTCTCCTAGTCACAGATGAGCCGAGAGAGATTTAAATAGGAAATCTACGTCTTTTGATGGGTTTACAAAGCCACATGTAAGTCCACACCAGCATCATATTCAAAAATGAATGTAAGCAGCATATATTGCACACTCCTCACTCTAAATTTTATTCCTTAAGGGGCCAAGGACACCAATGCTCAAGGCCCCTTGAGCCCTGTTATTCTTCCTACAGCTGATATTTAAAAAAATATAATGCCCTCTCTACATAAATACCCTCCTATCAAAATAATCAGAATGGGTTTTCTGTGTGTTCACACCATCACCACCATTTGATTTTTAACAGAAACTTTACAATATGTACAGGTTTGTTTGGATAATACACTTAAGTGTGAATTGTAGAAACCAAGCATGTATAATATATACATGTACACATGTGCAACTGTATTCACAGGAGTGCATTGTTGGGTCATCTCTGATCTGCATCAAGCTGACCTCATCAGAGATAATTAGAGATGAACACAGTACACAGGAAAATGGCTGACTGAGAAATGGCAACTTCGCATTGGAAAACTTTTCAAGTAGAGACCCGTAAACTCCCAATGAATGCTTCTGACCCTATTCAACCAAAAGAAGAGGGAGGACACACAGACAGGCCAAATTTCGACTCAAGTCGAATAAATAATGCTTTTGAAAAGAAGATGTCTTTTCTTTAGACCTTGAATTACAATTAAATACTGACTGATAAATTTAGTTTCCTCCTAAACTGCATTTCTTGAAGTCCAATTAAGTCTTTGATAGCCAAGAAGAGTGCCGACCAGCTCCATCTTGAAGCAGGTTGTAGCCTTTTCTTGAGGATTTCCACAGAACAGCTCCACACAGAGAAACAGTGCAGGGATGTGTAACCCACCAATGGGTACATTCCGCTCTTCCTACAGAGACTTCTGCTTCTCACATTAGTATTTATTTAGGTCTTAAACCACAAGCTCCTCCAGTGCACGGTATTCATTTATATGACAAGCAATTACTAAAGCTGCACTTTTTAGGTTTAAGGGAGATAAATTTTTAATCACCATTTAATTAACACCAACTTTCGTTTTCTTTTTCATTAGCAATTCTATTTACAAAGAATTCAGGGCATTTGTCATTTCCTGAGAAGGATGCGGAATATTAATACACATCAGCGGTAGACACATCAAATAGAATAAACAACGTGAGACTGTGTGACTACCATGGATCGTTTGACTAATTAACTGCTTTGGCTAAAGTCCCATTTAAATGAAACTATTTCATTTGTAAACAAGGTGTAATTTTCCTTTTCTCTCCCCAGAAAATAAGTGTGAATTGATTTGACGGGTTTTGCTAAAATGGATAGATTTTAATGTTTCCACCAGAAAGTTAAATATTAAGCCTTCTCATGTATCTTCTGAGGCAGGGAGGGGAAATCCCAGAGCATGGCAGTCACTATTTAGCTTGCTACAATAATGCAGAGGACAGAGCAGTCCCCAGTGGTGAGGTTACCACCCCTTGCTCCCAGGCAAGTCTTACTGACAGGAAGACAGATCACTGGGGGCTTGCCTTCTTGTAACACTGAAGCTAGAAGTGGCCTGAAACCTACAGGTGTAAGGTGGCTGGACTGTTTCCCAGAGCACTGTGGTTTTGCAGAGTTGGGGTTTTGTTCTCAAAATTTTCTTGTATGCAGGATATGGAAGCCCGGCTATTTGAGTTCAAATACTTCCATCTGCAGGACGTTGGATGTTTTCCAAAACGGGGAAACAACCAAAGCTTCCGAGATGACAAGCTGACTATTGGGTTCAGGGACGCTGGCTTTTTAGCATCCTTGAGCCTAAGAGCTTGGAGCTTGAGTTTAGCACTGGGACCCTCTAACACAGTTCAGGGCTTCCCATCCAGTCCTCAACGCCCCCTACGGCAGGCTCCATCTGCCACTCCTTGTGTGAGTTTTCCAATGAATGACACTCACTTGGATTACCTTCAAATAGGTCCACATGGTCACCTTCCACTTGGAGACTGACCCTCTCAGTTTCTTGTTTGGAATTATCGCATGTAAGAGTCAGAGAATTAGTGCAGGAGGAAAAAAATGTTTACCATACAGCCCCTAACTACTAACGAGTTATTTATATAGGTTGGTGTTAAAACATACATATTCTTTCCCATTACACAACTGGTAATAGGTACGTTTGGGAAGCAAAATCCTCATTTTAATTTCTTTTGTATGGGGTTAATAGAAAATAAAAAGATTGCTCTCCGGATATTCTGGAGAAGGTTTAGAGGAAGCAGTAGTAGTGTGATTTGTGCTCCCACTGGAACTGAGTGGCATTCAGCAGCTGCCCTGGGCTTCGAGAACAATGCAGGAAAGCAGAGAGCTCTTTGGATTTATGGCAAGTCACTACCGTGTATTCTAAGGAGACTTCAAATTCCCTTCTGTGAGGACATGACAGAGGTCCTAGCAGGAGGAACACAGGTCTGGAATGCAAAGGGGAAACAACATGAAGGAGTTAAAAGACACTACAGACACTGAAGCCTAAATTTAAGATCAGAAACTGGGGAGACTATTCCAGGTTCTCCAATGCAGACTTTTCCATCTCTGGACCTTAGGGAAGCAGAGAATGCTGGATTCATGGGAGAAAATGTGATTCTGAAGTTTATCAGCCTCTGGCACTGCCTCAGAGATGTCTGCGCTCTGTTCCCGTCCCCTCCACCGCTCCATCGCCCACACTCGGCTTACGGCATCACTATGTCATTATGGACTCCTGGTGGTCGGCTGAACGCTTCCACTGCTGCATTGCACGCACACTCAAGCTCTACAAGAACTTCCCTGCCTCCAACTACAGGACAATACCAGCTACAAACCAGAACACCCCGTGAGGAAAAAAAACAGGATGGAATTTCCACCTGTAGCGCTGTCCTTTTCTCTGAGAACCCAAATCAAAATCTAGTACAAAGGAAAACAGGAAAGGCTGGTCTCTGTCATAGGAGTAAGACACTGAGATGGCTAAGTCCTGTGCAAAATACCATCACCAGCTATCCCAGCTACTTCAAGGTCAAAATGCATTGAAAATATAATAATTGATAGAAAAGAAGCAAATAAAATGTCTAATTCATATTATTTGCTGTTTAGTGATATGTCCTTTCCTAATAAGTATCATAACTACCTTTTGGATCTTTTTCAAAAATATGGTAGAAAATTTATGTGCTAAGAAATTCTCCATGCATGAATAGTCCCCTCACTGTCTCCAATTTTTTAAAAATAATGAGTGTCTGTCCTATCATATGCACACAGGCTTGAGGGGGCCAAGAACAGGACAATGTGGGTGACTCAGGAATGACAAATGCATTGAAGACTTCTCGTCTGTCTCTGTTGGTGCTAAGGAAATGGTGCACATTTCAGAGGAGGGAAAACCCTGTCTTACTGAGTTTATCCTTAGGTGGGAGGGTGCTCGTGACAGATGCACAAGTGATTTATCATCTGAAGGCTTTTGATTTGAGGAGATTTGTATAGAAAGAAGTGTCTAATAGAGTTTCCTGACATTAAGGAAGATAAACGTAAAACCATGCTAGCCTTGGGCACACAGAGGGCACGGTACTTCTTATAGCTTACACATGGCTGCGTGAGCATGCCACCACATTAACAACTCTAGGAACACAACACACAGCTAATTAGACACCATCATGGCTTTCGGGGACAGAACAAGTTACGATTACTCTGGGAGGGATCGGGTAAGAGATACTATACAACCCTGAGTCATCACCAGAAGGGAGGAAATGCAAACTTACGTACACAAGAGTCTTCAAGATAAACTACAACGGCCACTATGTCATAGACAGAAGATCCACATCTAGATATCGAAGACAGAAATGTGTTTATGCAGCGCCGAACAAGACCACTGAAGCTGAGGATGAGAGATACACATTAACATCCAAAGAGATTCTTCTAGCTCTCCACCTGAGAGTCCCTGTGGCTACAGATGTGTTCCAGATGTGTCTTGGGGACAGACTACAATGAAAGTAGCATACATACATATGATGAGCACACTGATTTGCTACTCTTTGGGGGGGGGGACCTGTAGTTCTTGGGGGCTGAGCCAGGGTTGTAATGGAAGGCATAACAAGAAAGCTGAGAACTGTTACAAGCCAAACTTCTTAGTCCTTGCGCGTGTCATTCTTACTACAGTGCGGATGCATTCTTAACTGTCTTATTGTCTGTGTTAGACATACATGCATACCATATTGCTTATTCTGTGTTAGAGAAACTGAGGCATTTCTGATGGGGAAGTTACATGGTGGATTGACCTTCATGGAATTTGGAAAATAGGCAATCAACAATATCACTGTTGCCATCTGATGCACCATTATTGCCACCATACCCAGTCGGCATGTCTGGGAGACTTGCCCATACTCATTTATTTGTTTTTGGTTAAGGATTCACCTATCCGGCATGTGCTGTGGTCAACACATACCTCACAAGATTCCTTGAGTGAAAGATTATGGCATGGAGCCATGTGCAAAAGAGCCAACAAAAAAAGTACCTCCCTAAGTCCTCTTCCTTCTAGCAAGGTACTATGGGACATCTAACATTTATCCTCCAGAACATTGGCCATTCCATATGTTTCCTTATAGATAAACACTGATGGAAGATTTTAGACATCAGATTCGATACTAGGCATCTTCTTGTACACACGTCTATTGCTGCAGGAATTTAAAACCCTGGGGGTAGAGTACATGTTATTCTTATTTGCAGCATAAGGCATAACATGCTCTGAAATGTACACATCACTGTGGCCCCGACTGTCCCTGGAGCAATATGATGCTGTTGACCTCAAGGATGACCGAAGATAGCCGTCATTTACTGCCTGGGATGGCAATGAGTGTTTGTAGGGGTCCGAGGGACATCTCCCAATAACTAAACGTTGGTCATCCCCATACGTGTGAAGGAATGGATTATCAGAGGTGTGGTCTGGCAAGAGAGACTTGCTTCTCTTGCTGTCCTCCAGACCTTGGGGGAAAAGGGAGCTTTTATTCCCTAAGAGTTTGCTTGAGGGGACACTGAACAGGCTCCCATATAAGTTACCCTCTAGAAGCCGTTCTCTGTCCTTGAGGCTTATGCTCCGGGAGGGCTTGCTAAGGTCTATCTCCCTGGGCTTGTCGAGAATATTATCATAGGAGTGCTGCCGGTTAATCTTTAGCTTGTTCTTCTGGAACTGGAGGGCGTTGTTCTGGGACCAGTCCTGCTGGTAGGCCTCCTCCTGAGTAGCTGGGTTCCCTGTCTCCTGGAGCATCTGGTCTTCATCAATGTCATAGAGGTTCCCCATCCGCAGGCAGGCATCACACTTGAAAGGAGACCTCATAGTAAAGTGGCCTGAGTATGTGGGCAGGTTCGAAAGGCAGCTTCTGCAGTGTGTGGAGTTTTGCCTGTATCGATCACTGCCCTCACTGTGCGGGGAACCCTTGTCTTTCAAGGTAAAGTGCTTGGCATAGAGTTTATACGGGTCATTGTTGGGAAGCCCATCTTCGTTGTGTAGTGGGTTCCTGCTCATGGGCAGTGTAGAGTCTCCCTTGCGGAAGTTCTCATTGTGATCTTGGTAGGTATCTGAGAAGCCCACATTCTCAGGGAGGGAAATGTTCTCAACAAACTGTGGAGGATCTAAGTGGAAACTGGGTTCCTTCTCACCATCGATGGTGTAGATCTTATCCCTGGGAGAGCTTGCTTTGGTTTTCATGTAGGTACGCTCAACCTCGCTACAGTCCTTGGGGTATTTGGAGGCCATTGACTTTTTGAAGTTATCCTTGGTCTTGTGGTTCTTATTGTTATCTGGTTCCCTGTGGAATGTGGCCCGGCTTGAAGTTTCTGAAATGTCGGAGTGGGCTACCTCTTCTGGAAGATACCTAGGACTTTTTAGGGAGTGGGTCCTATTCTCCACAATCTTCTCATCCCTCTGTGAGACTGGGTTCTGGTTCAGAGAATCCTGGCGTAGAGACTCCATGGACTTCTTCCAAAGTTGCCGTGGTCGGGAGTTCCCTTTGGATTCAGTGCTGACAGCAACCTCCACGGTGTTAGGGTTGGATTCATTGAGAGTGAGAGGATGCTGTCCTTGGAATACATAGTTACTAAGGTTGTCTTTGTGCCTGTTGGCCACAAATGTTTGGAGTTCATTCATGTTGTCCCCAAATATGCTGTCTTTCCCCTGAAAGGACCTGTTGTCTGAGTATATCAAATTACCCTTGTCTGAAACCATGTCCACTATAAGGGACCCCCTTTGGATGAAGTCAGAAGTTCTTTTAGGTGAGTCAATTCTTGAAGAGTTCATGTTGGACATGTTGGAGATGTTCTTGGCTGACCGAAGAAGCTTTAGCATGTTGCTCTGTGACCCAGTTAGGTTGAAATCTGGAGACTTCTTCTTTTCTTCAATGTGCACACCATGGATACAACTGTAGATGCCCTGTGAATGAGGAACACAAAACACACATCAACAGAGGCCACCACTATGTCTAGATGACACTAGTTTGAAACCACTTGCCCATCTGAGCTTTACCTGCTAAAGTGAGCTATGGATTTCTTGTGGGAGTCATGGAGAGAGATTGGAATTTGTTCTGAATCCTGATTATCTTACTTCAATAGATAACACCAGTGATGTGTAAGTATTTACTCAGTATTGAAATGTTCTATTAAGACTCAGGAAGTAAATTTAACTCATAAGTCTCAGAAAGCTCCAGAAATTTACACGGTTCACAGGACTTTACCCAGATTAAATAAGCAGTAACAATTGTTGGGGAGAGGGGACTCCATGACCATTAGAGCTGAGAGACTCTTGCAGGTAGGCCATTGGAGCTACCTGCAAGTCAGCAGGAAGCTCCAGTAATGAAACTAGCTGCTCTACTGTTGACTGGGGAAGGACTCCTTGCTCATGCTGCTGTAATAGGTAGAACATCTTTAGATTTCTGACCTCCTGGCTTTCTCCTACTCAAATCCAGATTTTGGCCACCATACCTATCTGAAAGCAATTGGATAATTGGATCAAGCCTGTAGAATTTCATCTACCTCCTCCTAGGATTGCCAGGAAGCCATCCTGAGAAATGGATTCATGAGGCAGATCTGTTGCGGACTTTGACATAAAGTAGTAGGAAGTTTGTGTCATTGTGACTCTGATCATGTCTTTCCTGAGCCCCATGGCTACATCAAACTCAACCCAGAAGGAATGCTCTCAGAATTGTGAAGTCTGAACTCATCTGGACAGCTGCACTTTGTGTCTGAAGATAGTCTCTACTTCAGCCTTACAAAAATGCTGCACACAAAGCATGATCATCTCAAGTTTAAGCAACATTTGCTGAGACTGTGTCAATCTAAGCTTTGTGTTTATGGTCTGGAACCCAGGAACTAGCACTGTGCCAATTCCCTTCTTCCTTCTTTTCTCTCCCTTCCTCCCTTCTCCTCCCTCTTTCCTTTTCTATCCCTTCTTCCATTCCCTCATTCTATCACTCTCTCCCCTCTCTTCCTTTCTTCTGCCCTCCTTTCTTTATTCTTCCCTTCCCACTCTCTTTCCCTTGTTACACACTTTCATCTGTTCCTTTATTTCCCTCTGCCCTCCTTCTGTTCTTCCCTATTCCCAGAGTCCTTCCTTAAGTTCCTTCCCTTCTATCCCCTTTTCATCCATTCTTGGCCTTTCTCTTTCCCTCCCTCTAGCCCTCCCTTCTTTTCTCCTTTCCTTTTTTCGTTTCCTTCCCTCTCTCCCTTCTTTCTCCCACCCTTGCTTCTTTCCTTACCTCCTTCCTTCTACTTTATCTTTAGTCTCCTTCTCTGTGTCATGGTCAGTTTCACTAAGAATGCTAGAACACTCAGACTGTGGACAGAAGAATTATACAACTATGCCATGTGTTTCATAGAGCCTGGCACATTAGTTAACCCCTAATTAGTCACATAATATAATCGTATATGTAATCTAGAGGGAGTCTCCACCTATGTGTGAGAAATTGATGTTTCCTCTATGTCAAGGTCAGGTAGGGTCTTTGTCTCCTCTCCTTGATGTATTATGAAAAACATAGTCTTATTTTTTTTTTCTAAATTTGTACCTTTATTTTAACAAGCTCCTGTCCTCCCTCAGGATAACCTATAGACTTCGGTGAACCTGCCACCATAGTGAAATGTGCTCCCCAGCAACCCTGAACTGCTGGCTGTGCTCCCCTGCAACCCTTAACTGCTGGCTGTGCTCCCCTGTCACTTTGAACAGCTGGCTGTGCTCCCCTGCCACCTTGGACTTCTGGCTGTGCTCTTCCTACCTACAGAGACACTGATCCTGTAAGGAGACCTATATGTACTTATTGTCTGGTGATTGTTTTACTCTGGGCTGCAGGGCCAGTGTCCTGGAAGAGCTGGCAATGAGGAGAGGTATCCTCTATGGAGCGAATACCTGCCTTGATCACAAATCAAAACCCTTGGGAAGAAGTCACACTCAAAACTTGACTAATGTATGTGACTCAACTCTGTATACAAGTCGTGTGTGTGTGTGTGTGTGTGTATACACAAGTACACTCATGCTTATGCTCATGATCATATAACTATTCACAAATGTGTGCAAAGGCCAAAAAGCAAGCATGGGTGTTGCTCCTTGGAAGTTGTTATCTCCTCGGTTCCTCCCATTTATGGCCTGATGGATAAAGTGCAAGCAAGCTTGTTACTTCCAGGAAAAATAAGATGAAAGCATTTTTTTTTAAAAAAAAAAAACCTCCTTGTAACATGAGGGGCCGGTTTTATAAGCTTTGGGGCCCCATTTTCCTTATCCAAAATATGGTGTGATCATATTAACCTCATGAGGATAATGAGTGGAGGATTGCCATTATCCACATCCACCTTTCCATCACCGGCAATTCTCCACTGTAGGCTTTTTATATCAACCAGCATCAGGGGCTGAACTTTCTGTGTTTCTCCTTCATACAGAAAGGAGGCAGGGAAATAATGGAACCTCCTGCCCATACCTATCAGGTTGATTTGCTTTAGAAGACAAGTGGTACTGGAGGAGAGGAGCCTCTGCCCCACTGGACTCTTTGAAGCCTTCGGGATGCACCAGTAGTGGCTGGGTTTCCCTGTCTGCCCTGGAGGGTGGGAAAGTTCAAATTCTGCCAACAAAGCCTCGCCTGCACTCCCCAGTCCTCACAGTTTCCAGCCCTAACACGCTTGGGTGGGGATACCGGACTCAGTTCATGTCTCATGATGATGATCCCACCAACTTGGCTGTCTCTCTCAGAAAGAAGCTGGATTTACAAGCAAACGCAACAGTGTGCATTTGCTTAACATAATCCCAGAACCATTTGGATATGAAAAGCCTTTAGTAATTGGCTAGGAGAATTAGTTTAAAGTTGGCATAATTCCTAGCTATATGCATGCATGTTGTTATTTTTAAGCAATCTGTGTGTTTAGATGCCATCAAGCTAATTAGAAAATATGTATTTGCACAGAACCCAAGTCAAGTGTAATTGAATGTAGAAAATAAATCCTCCTCACGGAGCTAATGTGTACCTTCTGAGTCTCCAAAGTTCTCAAACTCATCTAATGCTAAGAATACACAAACTCACTTTAAACTGATTATTTCATTTCCCCCAATAAAGATCAGCATATAAAACTAAATATTTTTCATTAAGATGGGAAGATGAAAGAAACAGGTAGATCAATTTAAGGAAAGATATATGATGATAGATGATAGATACCTAACTAGATAATAGATAATAGATAGTTCAAAGATACATATATTGATGGGCATTAAATAGATTGATAGATTGACAAATGATGACATAAAGACGATAGATTGGTATATGATAGATGACAAAGCTAGATAGACATATAGATATACATATACATAAAGAGCAGATAGATAGACAAACAGATAGATAGATAGATAGATAGATAGATAGATAGATAGATAGACAACAAATTATTGATAGATGATGGATATATAGATGATGGATAAACAGGTGTCAAATAGACTGGTAAATGATGATAGATGGTTGATTGATAGGTAATAGATAGATGATAGAGATGATGAATAGACCAATAAATGATAGAGAATAGATGGATAGTTAATAGATTGGTAGGTGATAGATAAATGAAAGATACATAGATGATGATGGTGATGATAGATTGATTATAGGTAAATAGATGATTGACATAGGTAATATATATATATATATATATATGATTTGGTAGATATTAAAATATCTCAGGAATACACAGTATGTGCCTGATTCTCTGAAACCTCTGTGTTGTTGCAGACCTTCTTGTTGTACCAGGAAGGAGCTGCTTGGGGTACTGACCCTGCTGATAGAGAAGAGTAGCCCGGGTCGGTCAGAGCACACGCCCGTGAAGCAGAAGCGCAGCTTCCAGTAGAAGAGGTGCTCCCAGATGAAGGTGATGAGGCTGAGGGCCATAGCCGCAGCCAACATGTAGAACACGCCCGCCATGTTGTCAATGTCCAGCTGGCTGCTCATCACCTCATTCTTCTCGTTGTGGCAGATGCCTGTAAGCCACAGTGTCTCCAGTTCCTCCATCTCACCTGCACAGAACATAACACCAACAGGCAGTGAAGACCTGAGCACCTGTCTTGGTGTAGATACTTATGAGTTGGGACCATGGACATGACTGACAAGGGTGTGACTTTAAGGTAAGTTGCTGAGCTTGGCTGATCTTTGGCTCTCAGTGGAGGATAACACCTCCTTGCTACCATTATGGACAGGATTAAATTAGATGGTGTTTACAGTGTGGTGAATTTGGTAGTTCCTGGTATAGTTTTGATCGTGGTTACAGTCTCCCCATATTATCGCCTTTGTCCTCTACATGCCCCAAAGCCCCGCCCACCCAGGCTCACACAGGATATGCATGCTGCAGTGGAAAGACTTAATGTCTGAACCTCTCACTTACATGAATAGTGTGTGCAGCAAGAGTGCATATTCCAGGGAGTTGTGGGAGGGGGGTCAGTTGAGTCTGGTTCACATGAAGTCTCATGAACAACAGCTTGTGCTACTATTGACTGTAAGGAGGAGAATGCCTGGAACCATGACTGGAAGATGGTGGACCTCAACTATATTAGTTTCTTCTTTCTCATGTTTAGAACACTCTAAACAACTCCAAAAGCTCACCCACAATAATGAGCTTAAGATACTAAACATTAGTGGAAGAAAGGCATCTTAGTGCTGAATGGCCTCTTACAAAGTGAACATCTTCCTCACTTCAATAGGCAGCTGAGGAAACAGGTGCGCTTTTCATTGGAAATAAAAAGGCAGCATGCTCAACACTATCTTTTTTGTGCATTTTATCCAATCCCCATTTAGAATAAAACTCCATGATCTCAATGTCTAGTAATTACACAAGTCATTTACAATCACTAAGCAGTGGCATTTACTCCATGATTCAGTCTTAAGAATTCTATCTCAGGGACATTAATCATCAAAGAAAACTTATATGCTAAATGCGAATCATGACTCCATTGTGTCTGCTCTCTAGGCTGAGTAGGAGGTTTCTAATGGAAAATGAAAGGGCAGTTTTAAAGTTTATAACATTGTGGATTTCAAGTGAGTCTCGTTTTTAAGTTTTGTGAAGTCCGAGTGTCACCAATATCTTTGGTTTGTTTTCATGTCTGAAGCAAGCTAGTGGTGATTCTTCCTGGCCTTGTGACCATGTTCAGTTTTCCTAAGATTTGAACTGCTGTTGTAGGGTCAGTGTTCCATCACTGCCATTCTCACATTTCACCATCTCTATTTTCTCTCAAATAGATTCTGGGAACGTCCTTTCGATTTTGGTGTAGACCCTACACGTGAATATGCTTTGTTTATTTAGATATTGGTCTCAGTATGATTCCTCTATCCGATGACTCTTCGCTTTAACTCTGGAAGGAAAGTTCCCACCATGGCCAGTGAGATGGCTCTGTAGCACTTGCTGCCAGGCCTGGAGACCTGAGCTTGATCTCTGGGAATCAGATGGTGGAAAGAGAGAACAAACTCTTGCAAGTTGTTCTCTGACTTCCACGTGTGTGCCTTGGCATGGGTCTCACTTCACATGTACACACATATAAATATTAAAAAATCAAAGTTTCATCCATTATTTTTTTAAATATAAACTCCCCCATCTTAGCATTTTTGTTTGTTTGTTTGTTTGTTTGTTTGTTTGTTTTTTGAGACAGGGTTTCTCTGTGGTGTTGGAGCCTGTCCTGGAACTAGTTATTCTAGACCATGTTGGCCTTGAACTCACTGAGATCTGCCAACCTCTGCCTCAAGAGTGCTGGGATTGAAGGCGTGCATCGCCACCACCCAGCAAACTTAGCATTTTTTAAGTCATGTATTCTTCTCTGTAACTCTTTCCAAACTTAGACAAATACTGGCCTATGGTGTCATCCTTGCACAGTGTCACATAGTCAGCTGGAAACATTTCAGCCTGGCTTCTTCTACGGCTGATACGACTTTCCGTGTTCCCCTATCTCTTCTGGATCAGTAGCTTGTTTCTTTGCATTACCAAGTTGCACAGTCTGGATACAGATTGCTCATCTGGTCACCTATTGATGCTGATGTTGTTCTTTCCAAATTTGTACAGTCATAAATAAAGCCACTACAAACATGGACTAGTGAAGACGTTTGTGTGGATACTTTTGACCCAATTGGTCAATAATCCAAAGAAATTTTTGCTAAATTCTCTGAATTATATGGTAAAAAATGTTGACCTTTCTGCCCAACTGTATTCCGTTTTGCATCCCTCATACCCACAGGACTGAATTAGTTTTGTCAGAGTTTGGGCAAGGCTTTTGCTCTTTTCATAGGCTGACAGTGGTATCTGATTGCTGTAATTAGCAATTCCCTAATGATCTGTAGTAGCTCATTTTGTCCTGAAAATTTTAACACAGAGCACTGCCAGTCTATCCTGTAGGTTATTAACCTTGTCTTCATATTTAGTTATCTCTGTGGGCTGGAACTGGTTGATCCACATGAAGATTCATTCTCTAGTCATTTGTTCCTTAATTGGTGATATTTCACTTTATGTTTTCAATTTAATCTCTTAATTTTGCCTGAGACATTTATTTGTTTCTTTCACAGCTTCACCTGTTCTTTTCATTATGATTTCCAAACTTATATGATTTCATTTAGCAATTTCAAACCTATAGCCAAGGGGAGTAATTCTTAGACTTCTCATTCTGTTTGCTCTGTGTTCTCATTCATGGCAGTTGATTTCCTTGTGACATTGCAATCTTTCAAAATTTTATTTAGTCTTTGGTAATTTTATATGTGCATGCAGTGTGCTTACATCATATCTCCCACTGCTCAATTCCTTCAGCTCCTCCTGAGTGCCCCCTACATTTACCTCCAAGACTCATATGTTTTATTTTTAAATAACCCACTGAATCTAGTAAGTGCTACCAATTTGTGCATGGGTTTAGAGCATCATTTTTTTGGAGCACTGGCAACCATTGCTCCAAATTGTTGAAGAAACAAATTCTTCTTTTCTCATTGTCCATTAATTGCCAGTAGCTCCTCTCCTAGGGTTGTGGCTTTGGGAGCCTCTTCCCTGGTGTGGGATTCCCCTCTGTATGCTCTGAATATGTTAATAAAGAATCTGCTTTGGGCCTATTGCAGTGCAGAATAGAGCAAGGCAAGAATTCCAAGCAGAGGTAGAGGAAAAAAGAAGACAGAGTCAGGGAGATACCATGTAGCCACCGAAGGAGACAGATGCCTGGGAACCTTACCAATAAACCAAGAGCCTTGTGGTAAAATATAAAATAATAAAAAAGGTTAGTTTAAAGTGTAAGAGCTAGCTAGAAATATGCTTAAGCAGTTGGCCAAACAGTATTGCAATTAATATAGTTTTTGTGTGATTATTTTGGGCCTGGGTGGCCGGGAACAAACAAGCAGCCTCCACCTACAAAATGGAGTGCCAATGTGGGCCAGCTACATCCACATAAAACCTGAGAGAGCTTTAAAAAAATTCTAGGCACACACATACACACACACACACACACACACACACACACACACACAGAGAGAGAGAGAGAGAGAGAGAGAGAGAGAGAGAGAGAGAGAGAGAGAGAGTTAAGCACGCCTTCATGGTAGCAGCATTTTTGCGGGTGGACTCTGTTTGCTAGAAGCAAGCAGAGGCACAATTCCATTAAGAGACATCTTTCTGACTCTGCTGTAGCAGCAAAAACTGCATGGCTCCTTTAAGAAGGCTTCCTGGTTTGTGTCAGTTGTGTGAAAAACTCGGGTTCCTTCAGGAGGCTGAGTATTTAAAAGGGGTCTATGAGCAGTGTGTTACAAATTGTTTAATGATGACATGGACCCTGGAGCTGGGGCTATGTGCATGACTTTCAGAGGCAGTAAACAAGCCTCCAGCAAGTTGGACTGGGTGAAGCCAACAGGCAAAGCCTCAGAGTTAGTCCTAGTCATGTCTTCCTAACATTTAAAAGAAAAAAAGTGCTCCTAGTCAAAAAATAATTACAGATACACACAATAAAGACAAATTCAGATGGAAAAGACCTCTAAATGAGTCACAGTGTTGGATAAATGTATATAGACTTGAGAGAGAGAGGAAAAAGAATATAGACAGTTATAATATAAAAGAGTACAGACAGTCATAGGTTATAGAAGTAAAGATAATAAAATGAATATTAAACATGTAAAAAAAGTAATAGAGTTAAAAAACACAAGCCACACAAAGAAGGAATATACACAGAGAGTTTGGATTATTTATACTATTGAGTTTTCTTTGAATTTTTTGACTGTAAATGAGCTAAGTACAGAGAGACATTTTATTGTACTGGTGGCTACACTAAACCAACCTATATATTTTAAAGGTATCTTGACTTCAAAATTTGAGTCTAAGGATATGTTGCTTTGGAGAAGAGGTTCAGCTTTTGTTTCCACAGAAGGTAAGAACCTGTGAATTCCTTCCAGACTTATGTGGTTTGATGGATCAAGACCCCCTGAAGGTCTCTATAAACCCCCAAATATTTTGCCCAACAAAAAACAGCAAGAAGTTTAGAAAAAGCTACACACAAATTCCCAAATATTGTCTATAAATGTCTGTGTTCATTTAAAGGGATATTTAATATAGAGATAAATACATTGCATTGGTATGGATCTTGGTTTATTGATAAAATTTCAGGGTTGATTTTGTTATATGTATATTTCTGCTCTTGATTAAGGTACTGTGTTTGTGCATCCCATTTAAAATTGTAATGTATGATTAAAAATACAGGCTAATAGATAGTCATTTATATTAGTCAAGCTTGTAGCCATGTTAGTTAGGTTTTCTAGATGTACAGAGATACATTTCAAATGGATAGTTCTTCAAACCTTTCAAAGACTTAAAAAATATGGCATTTAAATGTTTTAAGAACTTAGGACTTTTCATAACAATGAGACACATCTGCTCCTAGCAGCACCAATGTACTTCAAGAGGATGATGGGCATCAAAGAGGTTCCTTATGGAATTGGTTAGCCATTAGGGCAAGAAACTGCTCTTGCCTGGACTTCTTGATGGTATGCTGTATGAATTGGACGTGCAAGACTCACA